CTTTTTCTTTTTTTTTTTCGGCGAGGGAGTTTTAACTTAATAAGTTCCGGGGTAAATTTTGGAAGGCAGATGGGTTTGTAGATAAGACACTACCCAGAGATTTCGCCCTCATTTTGTGAGGACTTTATGATCTGAGTTCTGGTTTCCTATAGGCGCAAGCCCCTATAGTTAATTACCCCTCCCGATCACGAGAGAAAACTTTCGATTAAGGCTAGTCGCCAATCACATACGTATAGAGATACGTGGTATCTGGAATATAGTAACAGCATGGATTCGGATTTGGAAATGTTTGGAAGTTTGGGAATTTGAAAGGCTTAAAGATTTGGAATTTGAAGGTTTGATATTTAAAATATAAATTTTTACCATCTTGCACTTAAAGCGAATGGTGGGGGAATGGATGATAGACCCGATCAAGATCCCATGGTTCCATCTTCCCGGGCCATCGTGGTCCCTGGTCTACTTAGTCAGAGGAGGTAGTCGACCCAACCTAACAGAAGGATCCTTGTCGGCAGCCATGGGTTGCTTCGTCCAAGGGAACCTTGTAGACCGGGGTTGAATGTTTGTCTAAGGGGATAAATTTGAATCCACCTTAGCTAACATAGGGCTTTGTGCCCTATCAATCATATCCTATTGATTCATATCTCAAGAATTTAACGCCATTAAGGAGCATATTGGCTCTGGCCATAACCGCTATCTGTGGTGCCATTTGGCGGCAAAACCACTCGGTTCAGAGGGCCCCAGGTCATAACCGTTTACCTGCAGTGTCATTTGGCGGCGAAACTGCCGCTTAGAGGACGCGTAACACGTCCTTACTGGCAAGAGATTGTTTGAGAATGGATCCTAGTGATATTTTCGACTAGGCATTTGGCTCTTTGTGAGCTAGAGTTTATTTGAATTTGTCCACCCCGGCAGACAGTTGCGGAGGGTGGATGGATTTTGCTTTAAGTGTTCGATAGTTGGATTTCAAATTTAAATATTTTTTTGGATTTTGAGATTTTTTTGGAGTTTGGATTTTGTGTGAACTTTTGGGAGGCATTTGAAAATATCTAGGAAACCCCTCCGGTTGAGATCTACATTCAACACGGCCATCATCGGGGTGTTCGGGGTCATCTCCATTTATGGATTGAACCTTGTCAACTCTGTCGGGCTGTCGACGGAGGATTGGGTTTTGTAGGCTTTGAGCCTTTGTTAGTGAATTCATATTATTGTAAGCCTTGATGGCCTAATATGAATGTTTTACAGCAAATATACCGGTCGCCACAACCTTATATTTGTTTAATGGTTCGAACCCTGTCGACTCCTATTGACCCGTATGGAAGGATCGGTTTCGAACCTGAATTCACTTGTCAACCTGCGCAGCATCCCTAGACGTCACGTGTGTACCAATAACACGCTCACCGGGGCCCATGCAGGTTTTATGATTGCTTTTATCCCTTTTAGTGTACCTATGTGTATACAATTTATAGTGCATGTGTAGGGGTATTTTGAAGGTGTTTGTAGACGCCTTCTGTCTGCTTGTACGGAGGTTGCAGATCCGGTGGCGTAGCAGCTTCTGGATAGAATTGTTCGCTGCTTCGTACAGGTAGACTGTCGTGCACTATCTATTGATTTTTGTAGGCGGGTCATAGTGCACTAACTAATCTCTTGCCTTGGGTCATGTTGCATATTGCTTGTGGGTGGTACATTCGATGTATAAGAGTCTTCTGCAATAGCTCGTAGGAGTCCGTCTTTGTCGTAGTCTTTTCAGTATTTGCTTGCAGGTAGTGTACTTTGTGTACAATAAATTTCTTGTAGTGATTTGTAGGGATGATCGAGTAATACTGATGACTAAATGGATTACATTCATCACCAATCTTCTCATGCATGTTGATAGATAATTTGCAACCTTTGACTATACGTCATTTAGTACTCATGATACTCGTCGTTTGTATATATGAGATGTTTGATGTAGGTTGTAGGAGATTGCACTTGTTATAGACATGGTCCCTTTATTCGTGGTCAACTCTCTTTACATATAAATCTTCTAGAACCAATCATAGGCTTTTGCATTTGCTACTGTTCCTCTACATTTTTTTGTATGTAGCATTTAATGTAGATGATATATAGGTCTTTGACATCATCATTGAAGCCTTCTACTTGTGGGGAGAGAACTGTATTTGCTTGCATGACTAATTGTGGGCGAGTTAGAGAGACTTCAATGTATTCATGGCATATTTCTAATAACCATCATGAGTCATCCCTTCCACTTGTAGTTTGGATATTGCATTTATGGAAGATTCTCATTATGAACCCTATATACTTATTTATTTCATTGATGTGTTGTGTTCTGCTTGAAGGTGGTATGCTACATATGTTTGTGTGCCCTTCAATACTTTAGTCATGAGTATATTATCACACACTTCTACTATCATCCGTGGGTAACTCTTTATATGCAATGAAGCTCCTCTATAGCTTGGTGTATTTGCTTGCAATTATTCGAATGTTGTAGGTTCATTGTCTTCCACGATCATCCACAAATATTCATAAGATTCCTATACCTTCTTGTGAATGATCTGTTGTATGTGTAATAGGTTCGCATCCTCACTTGTAGGTGCATTATTCTTTCTACCATAAGTCTTCAGCATATGTTTGCATGTGAATGATCACAATCATTACATAATCTTTGTATATGCCCATTGGTGAGTCATCAAGCTCATTAAGAGCTTGCATTATTCCTTATGAATGAATCATGAATGAATCAACAATTCATCCCTTTTTTAAATATAAGTCTCCAAATAATCAAATTCATTGACTAACATTCATGGCTCCCATTTTATATGTTGGACTTTTAACTTAAATCATTAGTTCAATGCCCATTTGAGCTTGAGTTCAAAGTTCACAAGTGCAAGTTTGAATCCAAGTTCTATTGATTGATGTTTGTTTGGATCCAACTTGAATTCTCAATTTGATTCGAGTAGTTCAAATACAATTTCTTTGTAGCTCAACTCAAGTATTTTCTTGAGTTCAAATTTAAATCTTTTGCGGTTCACCTCAAGTTCAAAGAGAGTCCTCCACAAGTTCAAATAAAGTTTAGGCTCCATATGAGCCTCTTCAGTTCGAGTCCCCTGCTGTTTTGTAGAGTTCAAGCCCGAGTTCAGATCGGGTTCACTTGAGTACAAATTTATTTGTGTTCAAGTCTTTTGTAGTTCATGCCACATTTGAGTCCTCTCTAATTTTTTTTTAAATTTGCAAGCTCATTTATTGAGTTAAAGTCCTCAATTTAAGTAGAAATTTCGACAGCCTCCCGGCGTCTCCCCTGTTTAGGGGAAAAACCAAGAGGCAACCATTCCCCTCGACGCTACGTGAGCGCTTCAAGTAGGTGTCAAAAATGACACCGCGGTCGCATTTATATTTTTTTATCCCCGCCTGCTACGTGAGCATTTAAGGGTTTTTTAGATTTGTTTATTATAAGAAGAAAACAGGTGTTAGAAATAAACACAGATTTACCCCCTCTGCACCACGTGGGCGTTCGGGGGTACTTATATAAAAATAAAATAAAATAAAAACACATTTTTTATCCCCTTCGCCGCAAGCGTCGCACCGGTTTCCCACCCTAAACGCTACTTGAGCGCCTCGGGGTTTGCCGGCCTCGTTGCAAGCTTTGAAGAGGGATCCTTAAATCGTCGCATCACGCAACGTGCACCGTTTCCCCCCTCAACGCTACGTGAGCGCCTTGGGGTTTTGCCGGCCCGTTCAAGCATCGAGAAAAGAATCGTTATTTATTTAAAAAAATAATAATATATAAAATATATTATATAATAACAAATTTATTAATAATATATTTATAAATAATAATAATTGGTTTATATATATATATTATATAATATAATGATAATAACTATAATATATTAATATATATAAAGAGGATAATCTCTTGCGACTAAGGAAGAGGAAAGGGAGATCGGGCAAGGCTGCAGGGTGCGTCTGAGGTAAGGGGAATGACAGCCCTCTCTCTCTCTCTCTCTCTCTCTCGGCCAGAGGAGGTCGGGATGGAGGTTTAAGAGTGTGGAGTTGAGCGTTGGAAGAGGTGGAGGTTCGGCAGCTCTGGACGGGAGGATTGACGGGCTGCTGGAGTGAGGGGCTCGGCTGTAGGGAGAAGGAGACGGGATCTAGGAGGAGATCGGAGCTTGAGAGGAGAAGCATCGGGACCGTGGCTTGGAGTCGAGATCGAAGAGGGCAGCGAATGGAAGAGAGTGAAGAGTCGTGCCGTGTAGATCGTGTGCGAGAGCTCGTCTCGCTCTTATAGTCGCGAATGGGAGGCGACCGAGGGAGAGATACGGGATTTGGGCAGGATTTCTGGGAGACGACTGCAAGCAGCGCCAAATCGTCGTGATTTCGGCAAGGAATCGCGGATCTGATGGGTAAGGGCAGGTATGTACGTTGGATTTCTTCGTTCCTCTCTCTTTTGTTCTCTGGGTATTGGTTAACAATAGTTGAGGTGGCGACGAAGGCCAAAGGTACCGTAGTTGACAGGAGATGAAGATAAGAAGGATTATAGTCTAGAGAAGAAGTTGAAAGGACCATAGTCGATAGGTAATGATGGTCAGAAGTATCATAATCGAGCGACTGAGATTGAAGGAGCACAATCAGGCAACTAAGTTCAAAGGACCATAGTAAGACAACAGTGGTTGAAGATACCTTAGTTAGGTGAAAGTGGTACAAGAACTGAAGTCAAGCAATTGTGGCCGAAAGAATCATAGTCTAGCGACTGAGGTCGAAGGGACCACAGTCAAGCAATTAAGGAGCAATTGAGATGGAAGGACCTTGAATAGAAGGATTATATTTAGCAAGCGACGAAGGTCAGAAGGACTATTGTTGGCAGGCGACGTAGGTCGAAAGGACCATAGTTGGGCAACGGAGGTAGAAAGAACCATAGTCGGGCAACAGAGGTCGCATGGACTATAGTCAAGCGATAATGGTTGGATGCAATGCAGTCGTCATGTGATGGAGATCTCAAGGACCATGGTTAGCAAACAATCAATGTCGGGCAGAGGCCCATCGATGTCGGCTTGACGGAGGTCCATAGGCGATGGTTGGGTGAAGGTCCAATAGCAACGACTAGGCAGCAAGGATTCGCCATCAGTGGTGCCTAGGTGGAGCTTCAAGAATCTTAAAGCTTCAGAGCTCTCTAAAGTCTTTAGCTCAGGATCCAAATCTTCTACAAAAGTCCCCTTTATGTAGAGAGTATGAGTCTCTTTATAAATTTTCATAGTGACATGCTTTGTAAATATGAAGAAGATCCAGGGCAAATTCAGAGTGCTCCATCAACAACACATTGATTTCGTTGATAATGGAACATTTGTAAAGCATTTAAGTGCCTTAATGATATCATAATTAAGCAATCTTGGGCTTGTTGGATTTGTCTCGCCGAGTCGCTTGATTCGACTATAAGTATACAATATTTAGATATCATTTGATCATCTAATTAATGCACTAAAGCTTTCAAATATGCTTCAGTCCCTTGGTTTGGGCCTATTTACACTAAATTAGACCTATTTTGGTGTTTTGGGTTCGTATCATCAAAAATTTTGGTTTAAGTATAAATTTGTTGAAATCTAAGTTTGGATGGTCTTTCCAAATCAGATATGCATCATGATTCACAGCCGATCAAGCCAATTTTCAATTACGCATCAAGATTCGTATTGAAGCATTCACACAGATAGAGAGATATAGAATTTAATGTCCTAACTTTATACGAAGATCCAACATACATAAATAAGAGAGAGGTGTAACAATAATAATATTCAACATAATTTTTACATGGAATATCCTAAAAATAGGAAAATCCACGAGGCCTTGCCCAATTAAAATGATTTTACTAGTGTATTTCATTGATTACAAATGATGTCCTTCCCCAGGAGGTGATGGCTCAATGTCGCAAATATACATTATATAGAGCATATTACACGACTGGAGTTTGAAAAATCCAGTGACATGAGAACTGTGTTCTCAAGAGAACATTTTTCTGGTCGCTTAGCCCATAAGATTGTAGTCAGGCGACAGAGGTCAAAGAGGATATAGTCTAGCGATTAAGGTTGAAGAACCATTATCGAGCGACGATTGTCAGAGAATCCATAGTAGATGGACTACATAAGGCAGAAAGACCGTAATCAGGAGACGAAGGTTGAAGAATTGTAATTGGGTGACAGAGGTCGAAGAGACTGTAGTCCGACGACGGAGGTCGGATGGATCGTAGTAGGGCAACAGTGGTCTGAGAGACCGTAGTTAGGCGACAGTGGTCTGAGAATCGTAATTGGTGGGCGACGGAAGTTAGAGAGATTGTGGTCAGGCGACAGAGGTTAGAGAAACTATAGTTGGGCAACAGTGGTGGGAGGACTGTAGTTGACATGCTATGAAGGTCATAGGGATCGTAATCGGGCGACGGAGGTTGGAAGGATTGTACTCGACGGGTGACGAAGGTTGAAGGGACCATAAGCGGGCGAGCGGCTAAAGTTGAAGGGCCATAGTCGATAGGTGACGGAGGTCGAACTGACAATCGTCGATAGGAGACGGAGTTCCGCGGAACCATAGTCGACAAGTGACGGAGGTCGAATGGACCGTAGTTGAGAGACGAAGGTTAGAGGGATCGTAGTCAGGCGACAAAGGTCACAGAGACCGTACTCAGGCGATGGTGATTCTAAGAGAGGTCGAAGAAATCGTAATCGGTAGGCGATGGTGGTCGGAAGGGCCATAATCAAGTGATAAAGGTCTAGATGACCATAGTCGGAAGACTAAGATTAGAAAGACCATAGTCGATGAGGGACGATGGTCAGAAGGGTCGTAGTGGGGTGATGGTGGCCAAACAGAGCATAGTTTGGCGACTGAGGTCAAAGGGACTATAGTTGAAAGACTGAGGTCGAAGAACCATAGTCGGCGGGCAACGAAGGTTAGAGGGATTGTAGTCGGGCGATGGAGGTCAGAGAGACTGTGGTCAAGAAATGATTGGAGGGACCGTAGTCGGCGAGTGACAAATGTTTGAAGGACCATGGTTGGCAGGAAACAAAGCTCAGGTAGAGGCCCGGCGGTGAAAACCGGACCGAGGTGCGATGGCGGTGCTCGGGAGGAGGTCTAGTAGCGGCAGTCGAGCGGCGAAGGTTCGTCAGAGTGGTGCATGGGTGAGCTCGAGATTCTTAAAGCCTCAATGCTCTCTTGAGTCTCTAGCTTAGGGTCCAAGCCTTCTCCAAAAGTCCCTTTCAAGTAGAGAGTATGATCTATTTATAGATTTTGAGAGTGACATGCTCTATAATTATGGTGAAGATACGAGACAAATTCAGAGTGCTTTGAACAGCTTATATTGATTGTCTTGAACATTTAAGTGCTTTAATGATGCCATAATTCAACAATGTAGGCTTCTTGGGTTCATCTCATCGAGTCGCTCGATCTGACAATAAGCATGCTATATTTATATATCATTTGGTCATCCAATTAAAACACTAAAACTTCTAAATATGCTTCGGTCCTTTTATTTGGGCCCATTTGAGCTTGGATTGGATCGATTTTGGTGTTGTTGGGTTCATCTCATTGAGACATTCATTTTAAGTACAAGTTTTTTAAAATCGGCAATTGGATGGTCCCAAGTTTAATTTTGAAAATTTCCAATTCATATATGCATCAAGATTCATGCCCGATCAAGACAATTTTTTGTGACGTATAAATAATAATAATATTCCTCTACAACTAAATACCATATTAGTTTGCATTTCCTTTTATAGATAATTTTTTTCCAATCTTTTAACTGAGCATTTATTTCACATGATTTTATCTTTCAAAATTATATTATATGCAAACATTACATTGAGAAGTTACAGTTTCCAATGTACTATTCATTGCATGAAAGTTGCAACAAATAGCAAATAACACTTCAGCAAATCTTCTGACCTTGAACCTTAAGGGATAGGTTAGTATACAGCAGCCGAGGAAACTTACTAATTAAATTAAAGGGCATTAGTTTTACTTAGACAGGTCCAACTATTCTTGACTTTTCAGTCAAATATAAGTTTGGAACAATTCAGAAGTGCATCAAATATATAATAATATAATACTAATATAATGTGCAAGATTATATAAAATTTTATAAAATGCTTTAAACTTATAAAAAATATACATAATTCTGTTGAAACTTGTTCAATATGAATTAGGTTGTTAAACCTAAGCTTATGTCCCAGTGGCTAACCAAGAGGGGGGTGAATTGGTAATTAAAATTTAATCCCTCTTTTAAAATTTAAAATCAAGAAAATTAACTTTAATGAATTTTATAGAAAACGTTTTTCAACCACAATTTTGAAACAGTAAAACAGAAAAATAAAAAACAACGAAAAAATAAAAAACACGAGATTTATAGTGGTTCGGTCAAACTTGACCTATATCCACTCACCGGAGGCACCCTCCGAGTATTGCACTAATACCACTAGTGACTCTCCTTTTGCACCCACAGCAAGACTGAGAAGCCTTTACAAAACTCTCTTCCACCACTACCCGGTGCAGCAGAGAACCGTCGTCCCTTTACACTCTTCCTAGTGTTGGCAGAGAACCGTCCGTCCTTTCACACTCTCCCGGTAGAACTTTTATTTGGTCCGGTGAACGTACGTAGAGCTACGTCCAGTCGGCACTAAGATTGCATGCACAAAATGAGAAATAACGAGCAAATACCGAGAAATACCAATAATAACGAGAAATCTCATTAGGTGAAGATGAAATACCGAGTCATACCGAGTTATGCCAAGCAATACCGAGTTATACCAAAAAATACCTAGTTTTTACTCGGTATTTTTTTGTATAACTCGGTATTGCTCGGTATAACTCGGTATTGGTCTTCCCAGAGCGGTATTCCTCTATATTATCAAACAATACCTATCAATACCGATCAAATACCGAGCAAAAATTGAGTAACAAGCCTCTAACCGGACATAGATCTATGTCCAGTCAGAGGACGTAATAATTGTTCCTCCCGGTGTAGGCAGAGAACCCTTCGTCCTTTCACACTCTCCTAGTGTGGGCAGAGAACCCTTCATCCTTTCACACTCTCCTAGTGTGGGCAGAGAACCCTTCGTCCTTTCACACTCTCCTAGTGTGGGCAGAGAACCCTTCGTCCTTTCACACTCTCCTAGTGTGGGCAGAGAACCCTTCATCCTTTCACACTCTCCTAGTGTGGGCAGAGAACCCGATCTCCTTGACAGATCTCCTCACAAGAAATCTAGAAAGAAGAAAGAAAAGAGTGAAGTAATCCCAATTCACAAGTAGAGACTCTTACCTTTGAA